AATTCATCCTTACAATCTCAACCCTATTGGTTGATTTAGGATGCATCCACATTGTGCTGATACTTAAATGCGACTATCCCTAGTTAAATAATTGACATATAGTATTGCATAATTTCTTTGTCCTTGCTGCCTAATAAACATTGTGAAATGCTCGCCTACTGCTAACCAGCCATGTGAATGCTGTGAGGGACCTAGGTATGCAGGCCCCAGAAAGTTAACTGCGTCAGTCATAAGCATTGACAACTGACAGTGGCTTTTCAATGGTCAAACAATGTTTTACAAGGTTAAGCAAACATACTCTCAGTCAGTTCTTAGCTTCTTCTCGAGAGAGTGACGTGAGAAGATCTACAACCTTCGGCTGCAGCTGATTTAAATGCCAATGTACCCAAACAAGGATTGTGGTAATACCTTTAAACCAATGCGCAACATGACTTAGCACAAATACCATGAGAAACTTTCCAAATCAAAATTCTACTTTAAATTATGATATGCAACCGTAAAGCATTTCATGCATGTCATATTTCATATTATAACACCTCACTGACAGATTCTGTATCTTGATTGGCCGAAAGGGTGTCATGTGACGCTTGCTAGTTTTACTTTCTTTATACCACCACTTCAAAAAGACTATACCATGCAGCCTCATCCTGAAAGAGAACTATACCAGTAGCGACCAAAGAACTATATCCGTAGCAACAAAAGCATAGGCATGTATTTCAGCTCATAGCAAACAACATCGGTTAAAGAATGTATTCAAACATTGCTATTCCGCTTGGAATTCTTGAATTAAATTTGATGAATGTAAATTCCAGTTTGCTGTTTCATTATTGATTAAATTTTGCAGAATCTGCGGGGAGGGCTTATAAAACAATATTGACTGTTTTATCTCGCGGGACAGTAAAACTAGCCTCCCGAGGTGATCCATGGAGCATTTTATTCTCCCTCGGCTTTGCCTCGGGAAAATAGAATGCTCCATTCCCTCGGCTTTGCCTCAGGAAAATAGAATGCTCCATGGATCGCCTCGGGAGGCCAGTTTTACCATACCACTTGAAGCAATCAATATATTCTGTTAGTCATCCTGCTTGCCACAGACATGGGTACACTATCCAAAGTGTCGAGAACCAAACTAACTCCTTTCATAACCGTCATTCCTTCCTACACTGAGATGAGTTCCCACGGTGTACCCAGAAATAAGACGGCAATCTTATTCTGAGTAGCAATGGGCAAGATGACATTACCTGGGATGGCGTAGAGGGACCTGTTATTGTCCTGGTTGCCTAGAAACGTGACGGCTTCCGTCTGCGCCCGCTTAACGGCAAGGAGAAAAAGATGCAAATGAGGGGGCAAACAGACAGAGAAAAACAACTTCAATTACTGGAGACACGCAGAGAATTGGAGGGTGGACGTGGGGTGGTTTCTCTGAACGAAGTCCATCTTCACAGAAGTACAAGCATCAGACTGTAATGTAAGGATCAGGTGTTCTGAGCCAACAAAGACAATCCACAGGGGAGGCATAAATCACCTCTGGCATGCTGAGCCAGTGCTTCTACAAGTGAAATCATGAGCCACACAGTGGTAGCCAACTTATTTGTAATTGCCGGCCGAGTTTGATCAAGTCTAACATACTGTGTTTGATCAGGGGCCATTTGTCAACCAGTACTCGGTACTGCAAGGTTGCCCACATGGAAAATATGTCCAAAGTTCAAGGCAACGCTCAGCGAGAGAGAGAAGGAACTCACAATGAATGGGCAGTCCCTACTGTCAATCAGGACTTGGTAGTACACGTGCGTCTTGCCTTTCACTTCTTTATTGTCTGTGTGTATGTGTTCTCCGCTCTCTGCTGTTGTGGGCAGGCTGTCAAATAAAAAGGGGCGAGATAGAATGAAACCACTCGTTAATAACCAACCTCTGACTTAAGCATCAATCTTCAATGTTTCTGATGGTCACTGTGTACATTCCAAGCTTTATCAAAAATACATTTTGAGAAACCGTTTCTGATACTTTGCACTGAAAAGTCAGTGTTTACTTGGAGAAAATACCCAAGGTCAAATCAGGCAAAGGCGATCCAAAGTGTTGTAAAAAGCGTAGTGTGAAAAACACAAAAATTCTCTATTCGTATCTGCTGCAGTCTGAGGTGAATTCACTCTAGCCAAAATCTTCTCTTTGAGTTTCAAACAATTTGGCTTTAGTAGCCTGGTGTATCCATTGACAAGTGCATATGTGGAGTGTCAAGAGTATATACATGGGCAGTATTGGAAAGATCACGTCATGGTCTATCAAATAACCATGGTTCTCTTTCTATAAAAAAAATCATCTCACTGTCTGCGGAGAAGATACTAGCACTGTGCTTTAGAAGTCCTCCTTGTGAGTCCAGAATTTGGTTTTAAAATCACTTGCTGGGAAACCTGGACTGTATTTCGGGGCAACAATCTCTCAGACACACCCCTCGGATTTTCCACTGGGTTCCCATAACGCCATTTTATTTCTGGGACTGGTGTACGAGGTGAAAAACCCCCTAACCCCACTCAATCCTCCAAATCCTCTGGGTGGTTTTCTGAAGATTTTGGATGATCGACTAAGAATGGCAAAACTGCACGACTGATTGTAAAGGATGCACTGTGCCAAGGTTGTGATATAGATCTCGTGTTATTTATGCTCAGTCAGGGAGAAATTCATGCCTGCATTGTATCTGAAGTCCTCCCATACTGCTCCAGGATACCTATGACAGGAATCGCCGGAGAATTTTAAAGGGTTGAGGCAGTGGGCACCCTCACACAAGAGCATATTCAAGAAATATTGGAGGATTTTGGAGGATTGGGGAAGAATGCAAGTCTTTTGCATGGATAACTGGAGGCTTTTGAAGGAATGAGGATGGTGCCTAGCAAAAAAGCCAAGGGGCGTAGGGCTAATGCATCAAGAGGATTAAAGCCAATCCATTAAGACCATTTCTGAGTAATTTTAAAATACACAAAGATGTTTCCCATGACTTCTATTTTAATACATTTTGGTAGGTTTATAAGCCATGTTTATCAATTTGCTATCTGGACATCTCTAAAGATGGTGAACAGTTTATGGGTAATTGAAAAGCTCACCAGCTGTAGTTATTTCTAAAGTCATCATACACCAGTATGGTCGTTGAGTCCATCACAAGTCCTTTCTCAAGACCAGTCACGGGTAACAATACCAGCAATGACAACGGCTTTTGTCATTCTAATAACAATTGCCTTTACTCAAAACTGGATGACACAATGGACTTGAAGGGATTTGCAACAGACTTTTGACTACAAACTGGTGGAAGGAACTCTATCCCATCTATTCCTTTTCTCTACCTTCCGTGCTTGTTACTTGCTACATCTCGGTCGTACAACCTCGCCAGCCAGGGGAACAAGAGGATACCCCGGTAACCAAATATCCTGTGCAAAAACAGCTGCAGTGGGAAAGAACACAAATTGGAAGGAGTCTTGCGGGTAAAAATCAGAGGGCAATAAGCACTTCTCAAAGCAGTCGATTCAGCTACACGGAGCCATCATCTCAGAGATGGTAACCTTTGCTTCTACATTGGATTCCTTTCATCTATGCTACCATATACAAATTCAGGATTGTCCTCTGTGTGAATTTAAATGTGCTCTTGAACCAATGACAACTTATATATATAACAGG